AAGATCTATAGACGTGTTTTAGTGCAAAACAAAATAATGACATTGGCGTGGGCATTTTATTTTCTAAGAACCTACAACAGCGCAACAGTATAATTACCACATTATAATCTCTTTTAAACGACAGCAGACATGTTTTTAACGGTTATACTGATTTTCTACACAGTTGCAGAATTAACATTTGGAACAATGAGATTGTTATCACGTATATAAGGAGTTGTTGAGCAAAATATGTCGCAATCTGCTTACTTACAGAACATTCGCCTACACAACGAAAGAGAACTGACTATATAGAAGTTCTCTTCCTAATTCTGCTGACTGTATTCTTGGTGAAGTGATAAGGATGGAGCAAAACCATGTAACTATTTTTCATGAACATCGAGTGGTTGGCTTGATTGTCTTCTCGGTAAATATAGCCATTATTTTAGTAAATTTAAATACGAACTCACGATTCAATGACAGATATCTATCATCGGGTCCATCGGCAACACCTTAGTGGCCACTTCCTTTCGACGTCTTCCGTCAATGCAGAACTCCTTTGGACGAATGGTCGCAAGTCAGTCAACAGGCGAGGCTGTGCTGTGCTATATTTTCGCTTTTTATTACTCACCTATGGTGTTTTTGTAAGTTTCAGATATTTCTTCAAAGAATTAAATTTCACACTTCTATTGCAGCAATATCGAATCTATGAGAGTTGTTTCCAAGTATTTTGGTTTCATACTCTTAATCTGTTACGATATCTGTATATTTTCGCATTTATTTATTGCATTGAACAGAATGTGCGCTATTTGTATGCCATTACGCTACGGCTCATATTTCAAGTAAAAATTTTTATCTCCAAGCCGAGATACTAAAAATAGGCTTTAAAAAAAACAATTGCAGCCCATTTTTCACGAAATTATCAATTGTTATATCATGGGGAATGGCAATTATTATCGCAATTGTATTGTACATATATCGTAAGTTTGTTGAACAATCTATTTTGCATTGAGCGAAATCTCGCTTTCTTAGATGACTGTGGTCTTGTTTACGATAACTCTATATGGGCGTTCGTCTTCTTCCCTAATGAGGTAAGGATTGGATTTTGCATTGAGATCGCCTATGAATTCTGAGTATGAGATAGTTACATTTGATTTCTGCAAATTTGCAGACTAAAGTTGTATTAAGAGCGGCTAACTACAAATCCTTTCAATGCATTGCCTAAGCAGATTGGCTTTTATCTGTTTGCAGATGCGAAAGGTAGACTGGGTGATGTTTGATTGCATTTTTTCTCCTCATGTATATAAATCCCAAAGCCAGACTTTAAAAACAATTTCACGCTTTTTCAAAACACCCACATGTATAAAGCCCATCTCCTTTGTCAAAAAATTATGTACGCTTCGCGATGTTTAGTTGAAAAATTAGGGACAAAAAGTCACAAAAATTCAACATCAATCAGTTTAGTGTACCTGTAGGTGTCATCCGTGTAGTTAACTTCTTTGCGCATATATGTACTTTTGCATTCTCCATAATACATTTTAAAATATCTTACCAATTCGTCATGCTGATAAATCCATGTTCTCACCCTCTCATACCTAAAACCTTGCCTTTGTAGAGGTTGTTAGCTTAAACACTTCAACGAGGAACAAAATCTGAATTCAGTCACCTTATTTTCCTTAAACGACATTACCAGCCCAATTCACATAGGGAACAGGTAGCAATCAAGCGTGGAAATGTATCACTCTATGGCCGTGCCAATGTTACCGGAAGAAAACTGCAGAAGGACTGTATTCATGCTGAACTGGTTATAAAATTTGTGATTAGGTTATAAGCTGAGGTAAAACTAAATACCTGAAGTGTTCGTTAATGAGTCTACTCATGCCAGTAGAAAGCTGTTGAGTGTTTCGGAATGCCTATGAACTTTAAGATTAGTAAAATTGCATATGCAATAACAAGCTAATAAGGAAATGATAGAGGTATATTTTCGAATTCAATCTATGAAAGGTACATTTAAGACTCCTGGACTCTAGATAGAACAGAACGTAGCTTAAAGGCACATGCTGCCTTTTCCAGAAGGAAATGCAAAGAACACTGAAAAGGGAGAGCTTTGTTTAATAAGATGACTAGAGATAATGTTTAAACAAACAATAATTCAACTGCTTTAACTTTTTCACTGCATTTAGCTTTAATTTATGTTTTTTATTATATAAACAAATTAAGTTTCGTTCTAGGAGTGCAAATTTATAGCTATGTACATAGACTTGTTCAAGGACGTATGCATTGTGGTCATTATTGCTGTTGTGGATATAATAACTATATTTAAAGTGCATCTACTTAATGTTCATGTAAGAAAACTACAGTTTCTTGCTTTATAGAATTAAAAAAAAAACCAAGTTTCTCTTTAAGATGCGGAAAACTGGCACAATAGATGGTGCGCAACGGCGGAACAAGGAAATTAATTTTTTGAAGCAGGTGAAGAAGCAGTGATTATTCTGGATGTAATCGGATTATGTTCCGAATCCCTTCTTTATGGGAGGCTGCAGACGTAATTTGTGACAACCGAGGCGTTTCTAAATCTCATATATTTAGGCTGTTCTCCAAGCCATTATATTCGCTATCGAACTCTACACCTATTTCCATCTTGCTTGGCAATTTCAAAATAAATGGGTAATTTTTGCA